TTTAACTCTGTCTGTAAAGCTGTGAGTCCCCACAGCTGCACTGAAAGCCAGAAGGCTTTTTTTTCTGTTCAGCAGAGGTTTCTCTAGTGTAATTATGTAACTTGTTTTCTCTTTTGTTTCTTATCATAAACACTGCCATGAACACTGCCTTTGCCCCTTAGAATCAATGGGGAATAATATTTTCAATGTGTTATTTACTTCTACAGTTAGCAAAAATTATTCGCATAGTACTTTTAACTCTGCTAGTGGATCTACCATAATGTCAGATAAAATGTCACCATGGCCATGTGTAATTAGCATTACAAATTTGGTTGAAGAGTTAAATGGTCAGATCCTGCAGGGTGCAAGTCAGTCTAGCTCCAAGCATTATGTTCACAAGATTTTCAAGATTTTGCTTTACCGAGAATGGGTCTACAGATGACTGAGACAGCCTTGAAAATGATGTTACTGATGAAATGCAAATCATGTTTTGGGTGTTAAGTGGACCTGCTATCTCAAGTATCTCGGGCAACGAAAGGAAAAATTGCTCTGGTTGCAGTACAGAAAGCAAATAAGTAGTTACTGTCTCTTTTTGTGTAGAGAACTGAAACACATCAGATAATATAGAGTTCATTGTTCTGGGATTGGCTTGGTCTGAAGCCCACTGGACATCAGTGGAAAGACCATCGGTATCCAAAATCCAAAAGTGATTAATCAGAAAATAAGGATTCTAGGTTCGTTAGTTACCCAGAAGTTGAAATCAAGTCATACTGGCTGGTTTATAAAACATGAGCTAATTATGTGCAGTAAGAAATTAAGTCTTCATAAACATTGGAAATGCTTTTGCTCGTTGAGACTTTGTAAATGCAAACACATTAAAAACAAATTCCAATTAACATTATTCAAATGAGTTCTAATTTTCTGTGCAGTGCAGAAAAAAATTGATGCAAATCATTCTACCTTTAATAACAGCTTAAAGTAAAATAGAAACAAAACGATTGATTTTCCATACAAGAATTAATTGGCAGTTTAACTGAAACAGTCAAACTTTACTGATTTCCGAAGTCAAGTAATAAAGGTGTCTGCCTAAGAGTTTTGATAAGGATGGATAGGCACAGTTCAATACACTGATATTATCTCATAAATCTTCTATTTCCTGATAAGTAGAAAGTTACACATATCTAAACTATCATTTAAGTTGTCAAAAGCCTTTGCTCTGAAATTATGCAGCCTCAATAATTGCTATTGAATTACTGAATAGGCAGTTTTTGGAAGTTCTTCATTATAAAGCAGTAATTTTTTATTTTATAGAAAAAATGAATTATCAAAAATATATAAAGGCTCATCAAAGATGTATTCTGTATGTATACATGTGACTTTATCTGTGTAATTTTTTCAGCCCCTGCTAGGCTCAGTTGCATCCTACAGATGACATATAAACCTTTCAAAATAAAATTAAGAAGGTATTAAATCCAAATATCTTCAAACATCACTGCATCATTTCTTGAAAGGTTTTTTGCATGTAAAAACAGTAAGGTCGACCAATGTTTCTCTAGATGAACCCTGTGATTGAGTGTGTTGTGAATGAACCAGCCTGACCCGTGAGTGTCCCAAAGCTAAATCCCAAGCTAAATCTCAAGCACAAAGCAGACATAAATTGGTAGTAAAACAAAGTTGCTTGTTGATTCCCAAAGTCAGTAGGATTGTTTGTATGGTGGGCTGAAAATTAAGCAGAACACAGAGGCCTTCTAATTGATTTTCCTGTGTGTCACTGTACCAGAAAGGTTCTGAAAGCACATTTTTAGTCAGTTCCCTTCAAATTACCACTTGGTCCTCATGCACTTCATGCCACTTTTTCAGAGCTTAAAGTTTACCTTTCAAGCATGCTAACGATGAAATAAGCAGTTAATCACAGTGCTGGTAATTGCTATAGTACATGTACCTGTTGATTATAGAGAATGACAACTAAAACCTGCTAACAACCTCCTTTAAAAACATGTTTCATGTAAACAGGTTATGCCAGTTCACATCCACTCAGTGAATTGTAGAATGATAGAACTGTTTGAATTGAAGGGAGCCTTAAAGGCCATCTCATCTAACTCTCCTCCAATGAACAGGGACACCTGTAGCTAGATCAGTGTATCCAGAGCTCTGTCCAGGCCTGACCCTGAGTGAAGTGTCTCAATGCAAGAAGAGTCTGTTGCACCACAATGACACATCTAAGTATTTTCACATTAAAAAGGGACCACTGTTAGAACTCCTCAGAAACAAACCTCTGGCTGCACTACTGTAGGAAGTCCATCTTCCACCTGAGACTACCCACAAGTGCAGTGCAGTTTGTCTTCATCTGCACTGCTGAATAAAATTAAAACCAGTTTTCTAGCCCCAAAGGAAAGTTTCTCTATATGTGTTCAGTGCTGTGTTTCCTGTGGGTACAGTGTGAACCCCAGTGACCCCAGCATGTAATTTTTACCCGTTCTGTATCTTTTTTGCTTCAAAACTGCTTGGATACATGCAGTGTTTGGAAGAACTGTGCTGTGGACAGGAGGGAATCTTAGTGTGCAGCAGTGCATTAGCACTGTGTTTGGCATGGGCGCATATAGGTCTAGAGATGTCCGAACCTGCTGGGTAAGGTGGAGCAGCAGTTCTCATGCACTTGCCCATACTGTCTAATGAGAATAATCCCCTAAATGTACTGGAACTCACACTGACACACATAGGACACCAAGGAGAGCTACTTGTCGTGGGCCAAACCCAGTGTGGGAACAAATTACAGAGCGCAAATGCTCATGTTTGTTTTCTGGAAGCTTTTTTTCGGAAGTATGGATACAAATATTCTTGCTAACTTCAATCATTCATCAGTACAGGGTGGTTTTTCTGTGTCCAGTAGATTTTTTCTTTGTTATCTGCATGTACACTGTAATAGCTGTGAAGCTATGATTGAGATGCTATTCTTCTGAATGAACCAGAGAATTTTGAGCTTCCTGATGCAGTATGTACAGGTTGTACGCTATCTCTCGTATGTGCAAAATGTTCTATTTATATTGAATAACTTACTTGTAAACTGGAAAATTAACTAAGTCAATAGGCTTGCAAGGTTGTTTGGAGGCCAGACTTTTACTTGATCTTGGGCAGAGGACACAAGGAAAACTTTCTATGCCCTTCTGTTTCAACTGAGGGACAAACTAAAGCTAATTTATTGTATGAGCTCATAATTTTAGCCAGAAAAGTTTGTCTTAATTGAGTTTTTAGACACTAATTTATTCAAATCAGCTTCCCAAATCCAGGTATTATGTGCAAAGCTTTTTTTTTCTGTGCTAATCATGTATTTCAGTTAATAGGCAATGTTTAGCTTAGAGCTCATAGAGTCTGCACAGCTTAGCTTCTTGTGCATTCAGTAACTTGTCCTTTATCAAAGAGTCAATCCTCTTGCTCTTTATTGGCAGTACATGATGTGCATTGATTGTGGACACTGATCTATTCAATTAGTTTATTTATGAGTCTGTGTGAAAACAAGACACTGGTACCAAAACCAAGAGGTAATGAAAGAGCTGAGAGCTTCTTCATTTAAAGTATTCTCACAACTAAACTCTGAATTTAAATGATTTGCTCAGGAAAATGCATGATGAGTTCATGTAGCTGCAAATTAACACAGTTAAAGCTTGCTGCTTTTAAATGGTGTTTAACTCTTTCACTTGTTTGTTTGGGGTTTTTTTGTTTGGTTGCTTTTTTTTTTGTTTGCTGCATTCTACCTCTTACATCCAAAGGCAGAGAGCCAGGGTTTTATTTTAGTGCATTTCTGATTATTTCAAATTTAGAATACTGTTTCTAAGATCCATCCAAGCTGGAGCCTGTAATGATCACTAAAATATTGCTAAAATCAAAGGACAGCATTTTATACTGGCTTTAAACAGAGTAAAGGTCTGATTCCCTCTCGTGTATTCTACTTGTTATCTACCTAAAATGTAAGAGCATTAGGAACAGACCTGAAGGGCTGAGCAACTTAGGAGTGGATAGAAAGATGATGAAATTCAGGAACCTGTGTAGGATAATATATAATTTGAGGGGGCATGAATACCGGCAAATGTTGACATGAAGTCACAACAAAGATCTTACAAGCCAAATCAGATCCTGAAACTGACTTCTTAACTGACTTCATAGAAAAGCTATACCAAGGACTGTCAAGTTCTGAGCTGAAACCAAGCAGATGAATTAACCTCATATCCTCCCTCCTTTCCTGGAAAAGATACAGCAAAAGGCAGTGTTGCTGGGAAATGTAACTGATTACGTTCTATCATCAATGACTTAAAAAATATAAGTATGGAATGCCTATTTGTCAAGTATTTTCCAAATCAGATAGCACAGAGTATGCACATCTTAGCCCTTTGCTTATTTAGTACCTAGCCCTTTACCAAGGAATTAATCTTCTCAGGTTTTATTAGCAGTACATGATGTGCACTGGTTGTCAGTGATGATCTGTTCCATTAGCTTCCTTCATGTGTCTGTGTAGGAAAAGTCCGCTACTACTCTCCCACCCCCCCATCCCAGCCCCTGAAAAAAAAAAAAGAGAAAAAAAATACACAAAAAACCCTGAAATTCCTTTTTTATCTTCATTTACTTTTTACCAAAGCACTTGACAGTTTCCATTAAATTTAAGCATTATTGCCATGATTGAATGCAAATAATAGTCTTACTTTCTCATACGCTCTGTTAGAAGAAAATGGAATTCAGTGATCGAGAATGCCAAGAAATCCAAAAGTACAAGTGGATTTAGAGAAATTTGAATTATTGGAAACAGACCCTTTGATGATTATTGAAGTTGATTCAGGTTCTGGCCCAGAAAGCCCTTGATTCACTGTAAGTTGGGTAGATCTAAGTTTCCCACACTATTACCTAGATCAACAATTGATTACTTGGAACAACACAACTGAACATGCACTCCTCACATAAAAATTAAGAAAATGCATTAACTTTAATTCTAACTTATTTCTAATTAAAATATTTTGTATTTTTAACTGCAGAATCCCCTCCATCTGCAAATGAGTTTAGAAAACTCGTTGAGCTCTGATGCTGATGTCACATTCTCAATCCTTGCAATGAACAACTGGTACAACTTCAGCTTAATGGTATGCCAGGAGGAGTGGAACATCACGGATTTTCTCTTCCTCACACAACAGAGCTCCAAGTTCCACCTGGGGTCCATTATAAACATCACAGCAAATCTCACTTCAACCAAGGACCTTCTGAACTACCTACAGTTTTACCTGGAGAGCATCAAAGACACAACATCTACCATGGTCATGTTTGGATGTGACATGGAGAAAACAAGGAGAATTTTTGAAATAACTACCCGATTTGGTGTGATGCCTCCAGAACTTCACTGGATTATTGGGGATTCACAGAATGTGGAAGAACTGAGGACAGAAGGTTTGCCACTCGGTCTCATTGCTCATGGCAAGACAACACAGTCTGTCTTTGAGCATTATGTGCAGGATGCAATGGAGCTGGTAGCAAGAGCTGTAGCAGCAGCCACCATGATTCAGCCTGAACTAGCTCTTATTCCGAGTACAATGAATTGCATGGACACAGATGAAAAAAATATAACCTCAGGACAGTATTTGTCGAAGTAAGTTTGTTGTTGCTGTTTGCAGCTAGCATTTCTGGTATCAAATAACATCTTAGTTTTCTTTCCCTTCTCAGCCCATCTTTATAGCATGGCTGTAATGCTATTCACCCTTACTAATGCATGCATTTGTTTCAGTATTTCTTCCTGCTTCATTCTACTGGAGACAAAATGAAGCTTAAACTTAGCCATAGAGGGAGGTGAGGGCAGTTGTGGAAAAAGATCCTGTTCCATAGAGGCAGAGATAGTACAGAGAGTGTGTAGGCTCAGCTCCAGCCTAAGCACTGAAAGTATCTTGTAATTATATATCTGTGGGAGAAGTCAAATTCTCTCAGGTTTTGAGATGTGTGAGAGAATACAAAACACAAAATGAGTATTTGTGCTACCAAAATGAGTATAAAAACAGGTGTGTGTTTTCAGGCCCTTGCTAGTATGCTTCCTTGGGTCAGGAATGAACAAACAAAAAAACCCTTGGCCATTTAGACACCACTTGTGCAGGCTGAGAGTTCTCAAAGCTACAAGAAGTGCCAGAAACCAAATCTTTTGTAGGGTAGAGTGGGAAGCTCCTCTTGCAGCTTCTAAAACTGTAGACCAGTTGTTCCCAAAACCACTTGGAGATCAATGTTTACAAATATTTGAGGCTTTAACATCTGAGAAAGATGCATGATTCCTTTTAAAAACAAACAGAAGAGTCCTTGTTATGTGTGTGAAGTCATCAGCTGTTCTACATTTAGTGACTGCTGCAGATTTTTACCCCTTACACCTGGTTTTTAGCCTACAGATGTTAATGGATGGGGTTAGGATAGGAGTTCTTGAGCAAAATGTTTGAGTGTTACAATGTTTTGAGGATTAAGGAAGGGTCAAAGAAAAACAAAAGCTACGTCAAAACACTTCTATGTATTCCTCCATAACATTTCTTCATTGTTTTCTTCAAAAAACTAGTAGCATTTACATAATGAACATGGACTGCTGTCATCAGATTGTCGTATTTGTCACATCTATGAAATATCTTGTCCCTTCATCTTGATTAAGATACAGTGGAAGGCAAGAAGGTAGGGAGGAGTCTGTCCTCAGAAGGAATTACTTGAATCAGCTGGGGAAAGACATGGTTTATGGGGAATCTGTAAAGATGTACAAAGTCACTAGTGAAATGAAGGGAGTAGACACAGATAAATCATTCATTGTCTTTTTGCCTTAAAGAAACAAGGGAGATGAAGTCAACAAGGTTCAGAACAAATCAAAAGCAGCACTTTATACCACTGCACTGTGGTACAGTACAGTACAGAGAGTATGTTGGTAAATTCAAGGAATACTAGCATTTTAAGTGAGTTCAAGAGGAAGGCCGAATGAAGTGCTTGCAAGAGAATTCAGAGGGAGCAACACCACACTGACAAATCACAGCAGGCTCTGGAAATGCCTGGAACTCAAAATGGTTGAGAACTGTCAAAACATTAGGAGAAAATGTCATACACTTGGCCTGCTTTTCCCTAGGTAGCTGCTGGTGGACTGTGTTGAGGAGAACACGCTTGATAAACCCTTGGTCTGAATCACTGCAGTGCATAGTGTATGCAGACACCTGATGGCCAGTCCTTATGTATTTGAGTTAGCAGCACAACTATTAATTCCTAACAGCAACAATGATTTATGAGTCACCAGTGGGTGGCTTAATTGTGACCAGAGCAGAGACAAAACTTCCGTTTGGTAACTGAGTATTTACTGACAGGGGTCCTGCCTGAGAGCTCATCTGTCTTGGTACACTGCCTTAGAGCTGCAGTGGCTGGGGATGGAGAAATGCAGAGACATGAGCATTGTTTCTGCAGCTGCAGCACACAGAGTAAAAGCACATCCATGGCTGGCACACCAGTCCAGGGCTTTCAGTGTGCTTGTGCACCGACTCTGCAGCCATTCAAGTGACACCCAAAGGCAGCACAGCTGTGAACAAGGCCACTGTCCTGTCCATGGCAAAACAGGCTTTTATAGATACGAGTATGGAATTGGAGGAAGACATGCTTGTTGTAAATCTCCCATCTTTAATTCCTCCTACAGCAAGTCTGATTCCCAGATCTATTCCTGTTGCTCCTGGGAGCATCCTTGTTGCCAGAATAAGATACTAATATTTAAGAGCTTCATCTTTTCTTATAGCCTAAACTAGTCTCACAACTTCAATTTGCCTTGGGTAATTTCTCCAGCCTCCTGTTTGTCTGCCTGTTCTGGCTATTGCTTCTGGTAGTTTTTCCAAGACAGATACAGAGTGGCCAAGCCACTGAAATTGAGTGGAAGTGAAAGCATTAAATGAAGTCATTCTACAAAGAGGGTTTTGCTCAAGTATAGTAACAACCAGTTCTTAGAACAAAGCACAATAATAAAAACAGGAAGAAGGCTGAGAAGAGCAAGTGGCACACTTGGGACTTCTTGGTCAAGCTAAGTAATGCTAGTAAAATGTTGAGACAGCTACCACAGTCTGTCAGTGCGATCATCAGCTTACAGACATTGACACATCAAGGAATTAATTCACAGAGGATCTGTCCCTTTGCCTTCTGAAAATCTGTACATATCTTTATGCATGAACCTGTCCATAGCCCTTCTGAAGAGGCCCAGCTCAGTATATCATATATATATTGATACATATGTATCAGATATATATCAGATATTTCCATTGTGTCTGTGTGATATGTGACACTTGTAAGTCTCAGAGGTTTCACACTAGAGGCTGCTGGTCTAAATAATGGGGTCAGACCCTCAGATCTGTTTTTTAAAGTGACTGAGTTCTGCTGTGAAGACTGTGGCATGAGTTTCACTGTTGCTGCACACAGCACATGCAGAAGATTAGGAGCCAGAGCCACTTACAACTTTTACAAAGTGTTGTTAAAATGTATCTCCCACATGGTTCCCCTCACTTATTTTGATTAATGTTCTGTCACTACCAAAAATATGGAATATGCAAATGAGCTGCAAAAGTAAGCTACTACCTCGATACGATAGCAAAGTCTAAATGCTACTAAATCTCTTAGGCAAATGCTTCTAACACAATTCAGCTACAGGACAGTTACAGAGTGCCTGGTTCACTCTCATGGGCATGCTTATTTCTACACTGAAAGTCAGAGAACGCAGTGCATAAATTTCACTGTTCTCATTCTACCTGTAGAAAGTAAATCTAATGCATTATTCCATAGCTTCATCTACTCTCCAAACTCCAGGTTTGCAGCTTTCTAATATTCAGGTTGTGCTGCAATGGAAATCTGGGACCAAATCCATCAGAATCTTGCTAATTTATTCCTCTTAGGAATTTGTGTCTGTCAATTTTGGCATTGTTGTTAACACTGATGAGTTGTTAACACTATTTTCTACACTGCTTCTTTCATAATGTTGTGCACAGGTTCATCTATACCTTTGGTTATTGTCATAATGATGACCTCAGCGTATAAACACAGCAGTGCTTGTAAGGAAGAAGTTGCACTTTTTTATTTTATTTTTATTTTTTTAACAAAGACTGAGGAGAAGAGAGACAGAAAACAAACCTGTTCATAGATCTGTGAACCTTCCTTTAGTGCTCAGGATTGCCTTCCTCTGTAGCTGTTGTCTTCATGATGTTTGCATTTGCAAACATGCACAGATCCTGCCAAATAAAGAAGCAGCCCGGAAGGAAAGCACCTGTCACACATGACAGACACCAGTGGTTAATGAAGTTACGGTTACATTTAGCTAACACTAGACTAAGTGGAAAAGGACTTATAGAATGTGATCCACAATCATGCATCAATCCTGTATATTATTAACATTTTTGTGTATTTCTGGGCACAATTCTTAGACTCGGGTAACACATGTACAGATTTGTTGTTCTGGACAGTATAGGCTGCATCATCTTGGACTGTGTCATTTTTTGGGTTAGTGGTTGAACTAGATGATCTCAGTGGTTTTTTCCAACCTTAATGATTCTGTGATTCTGAGGTCTTTCTCCGAACTTCATGCACAATAGGCTGCTTGAGAGTAGTTTTGAAGCCATCACAGAAAAGGCTTTCACACACACAGCTATACTCAAACTGTATTATTTAGTTTCTTAAATTTGTTCTTAGCTGAGGGCAAATGTTAGTATGATCTGCACATACACAGAACTTTTACTGCTGAAGATACATAAAAATTTAACAGATTTCGTTGGTGCAGTGCAGTCAGCAATGTGCATGCACAGACACTTGCTGCAGGTTTATCCTTTTTTAATCTATTTAAGGTTAGTTTTTTCTTCCCCTCTAGCTATTGATAAACAATTAACACTACTTAAAGTTTATGCCTTGTCTATTGAGGCTGCAGTGACAGCTGTACACTTTATACTTCTTTCAATACTTGCTTTCATCTAATTCTCAGAGCTATTATGACGTGTTACATTCTACTGTGACAGCTAAATACTCTGTCATCCGAATGCCTCTTACTGAAAAATATGTGCTTCACTTACCTTATACCATATTAGCAGCGATATAACTGTGTTGTTTTTAATGGAATCACTCTACCAAGACTTTCATAGTCGTAACAGAGTGCCTCTGCAGTCCCTGCAAAATGCACAGCAGCTTTCTCATTAACAGAGAGCAGTTCAGTTGGTCATGTTCCCACTTACTTCCCTGCTCCCTTATCTGTATCATTTTAGCATATTGAATAATGAGTTACGAGAAGCTGTATTACACATAGGTGGATGACAACTACAGCAAATGTTGCCAGCCCAATGCGAAGGAAATAACTTTTACTCTGAAGATGTGGGATAGTAAACATCCAAAGACGAATGTGCAGTGCAAAATTGATATGCTTGATGAGATCGGCTATGTCAAAACTGCACTTTTCAGAACATTGCTTTTGCAGGTATTTTAATAATAATTTTTTTTTTTTTAAAGAATTAAAATCTTTTTCTAGGGCAAAGTTCTTTCGCTGAGTCCTTTCCTCATTCTGAAGTGGCTGTGACTTACCAGTACCAAATGGGCATTTAGAATCTGGGTTGGTTCACTTGAGAGTGCTTGAAACATGTTGACAGCACTTCAGTAGCCTCTCTTACATATGCTACATCTTACTGAGATCACAAGATTTTTCTTGGAAGGGCAGTTCTTCATTTGCATTCTTCCATTTTCATTCATATTTTTGTCTGGGAATCTGGCTACTGATCTCTTTAAGTTCAGTTGAGAACTAACCTATGTTTCATTTACTTACGAAGCAAAGGGCAAAGGCAATTGAAAAAAAAAATTATTTCTCTCATTTTTTTATAGTAAGTAAATAAAATATCTTCTCTACATAGTTTCCATTTACACTACTTAAAACATGCAGGAGACAGAGCATTCCCAAGTATTATAATCATAAGTATGTTATTCACTGTGCTGTAGGAAAGCTATGAATATCTAGTGTTTAGCCAGATTTTCTAATCTAATCCCTTAAACATAAATTCATGGCGTCTGCATAAGTTTCAGCGTATGGCTTATGATATCTGCTTCTGATTACTCTGCTCTCTCTCTCCAACAGGTTTTTAGCTAACACAAGTTTTGATGGTCTCAGTGGCCACATTAAGGTGAAGGGTTCCTCTGTTATCAGCTCAGAAAACAACTTCTTCATCTGGAACCTGCAGCATGACCCTGTTGGGAACCCTATGTGGACTCGTCTAGGGAGCTGGCAAGAAGGAAAGATTGTCATGGACTATGGGATATGGCCAGAACAGGCCCAGAGACATAAAAGTCATATGCAGCACCCCACTCGGCTGCACCTCAGAGTGGTAACTCTTATTGAGCACCCTTTTGTCTTTACAAGAGATGTAGATGATGAAGGTCTTTGCCCAGCAGGGCAGCTGTGCCTGGATCCTTTGACCAACGATTCAGCAGTGCTGGACAACCTGTTTGAAACTCTTCAAGGAGGAAATGACACCGTTCCCATTGAGCTGAAGAAATGCTGCTACGGCTACTGCATTGATCTGCTGGAGAAATTGGCTGAGGATATGAACTTTGATTTTGACTTGTACATTGTTGGTGATGGAAAATATGGAGCCTGGAAGAATGGTCATTGGACTGGGCTGGTAGGAGACCTTCTTTCTGGGACAGCTCACATGGCAGTGACATCATTTAGCATTAACACTGCCCGCAGCCAAGTGATTGATTTCACTAGCCCTTTCTTTTCCACTAGTTTGGGGATATTGGTGAGGACCAGGGACACGGCAGCTCCGATTGGAGCCTTCATGTGGCCACTTCACTGGACTATGTGGCTGGGGATATTTGTTGCGCTCCACATCACTGCTGTTTTCCTCACCTTATACGAGTGGAAAAGTCCTTTTGGGATGACCCCCAAGGGAAGGAACAGAAACAAAGTCTTCTCTTTCTCCTCTGCCCTGAACGTCTGCTACGCGATCTTGTTTGGAAGAACAGCTGCCATCAAACCCCCCAAATGCTGGACTGGAAGGTTTTTAATGAATCTATGGGCTATTTTCTGTCTGTTTTGTTTGTCCACGTACACAGCCAACTTAGCTGCTGTCATGGTTGGAGAGAAGATCTATGAAGAGCTTTCTGGAATACATGACCCAAAGGTAAAGCATGTCTGTTGTTATTAGCTCAGCTTTTTCTTTTTCCCAGTTGAAATTCACTGCTACATAATTTATGGTTTCTTAATAAAATCAGAAAGCGACCTGTCTGCAAAACAGCAGTTATCCTACAGTTAATTATCATCTGACAACACTTCAGGAGGAAACTCCAGTGAGAGAAGGTATTTAAATATCCATTAAAGTGTATGGAGTGATTTCAAAGGTGTAAGGTTAGAGGTTACTCAAGGATTTTTGTTTTGCTCACAGCAAAGATTTTAAGTGGTTTCTGCATGCAGATTTAAGGTTAGATTACAGTTCTGAAGTCCCTTTGGCTGCAGTTGTTTGGATGAGTTAGGTGATTTAGATCATTCTGAGATTTACTCAGGCAAAATAACCACACAGCGTGGAGACAAAAGCATGGATACAAAACCTGATATTCTAGGCAGCATTTTGCTAGTATTTCAGAGGCTTTAATGGTGTTACTGCCAATGCTTTCCATGAATATTAAATCAATTGGAGAAGAACTGAAATATTTTGAAAAACTACTTTTTGTGTCAGAATGACAGAGTACTTTATGAGTAGTCAGTTGATTTTCAGTGTCACTTCTGCTGTGGAACTGTTCATGCGGGAACTGGATTGCATAGTAGACAGCTTGTATGCAAGCTGTATGTATGTATGTATGTATGTAGCGCAGAGAGCTTGATACATATTAGGAAGGCAAGGAAAAATGCAGAAGCAGGACTGCTCACACACACTCTCTCCCTCATTCTCAAGGTGGATGAAGGGAAAAATTTAAGCCTCAGCCACATTCCATAGTTCAGCCATTTTAGAAGACTGTCATGATTTTATTTGCTACTAATTTGTGGTCACAAATAAAACTGAGCAGAAGGGTTTATGGAGAGAATACACAGCTGCAGGTGGCACAAAAGCAGGCATCCTCTTCAAGTGACAGTCCCTCTAGGGAACAGAATGCCAACAGAAAATTTCTCTTGTTTATCTGAAGCTTTCACCAGCAAAAGTTTGATTCATGGTATTGTCCACAATTTTATACTCATAATTTAACTGCTAGTACACAGCTGCGAAACTATCTACCATCAGTCTCAGGTGTCTGAACTGATAAAACATTATGCCAGTGGAACAAATCACCTCAAGAACTCCAGAACCAATCGCTTATTTCGCTTTCATAAAATTTATTAATAAAGGTTATATACATACCTCCAAATAATACAGGCCATCTTTCACATCAGTAAAACTTTGTGTTTGGACTGATGACCATCCACTTTTCACTTTGTGAATATGATTTCTGAATCACTTCCTCCAACATTTAGAACAGTAATATTTTTTTTAAAGAATATTATTTTCTATGGTTGGCCTAAGGCACTGATTTATGACTTAAAGCTTGTGCTTTTCCCCCTACATAAAGAATCAGACATAGTAAATCTGTAATTTCATCAAATTAAGCTTCAAGACTGCTGGAATTTTGTATTTGTTTTGTTCAGAGCATACTGGATGAGTAATTGAGAGTGTTTCAGTCCTTGTTTGGTAAGCCTCAACATGGACTTGAAAATGAAGTTACTCCTCTGTTTTTTGTATGGGCATTACCTAATCCATTACCTAATCACATCAGATTACATCCTAATTTTCTGCGTCACTGTTACGACCATGCAGGCAGTTCCTATGAGAGATATTGGAAAACTTCTGCAAATTGTAAGATAGAATTATTCTAAAGCTGCACTGTGAAGCTTTGCCATCAAGTTACAAAATTGAGCACAGTGTTGAAGCATATTGCACACTGCAAACACAGGTCTTAGGCCTAAATAAAGCACTGTTGACTAATGGTTTGGGGTTAATCACCTCAGGGATCAGGTAAATCAGTGGCATTATTGGTCTCTCCCAGACAGACACTTCTCTGCTTCATGGAACAAGGCTAAGATTCTGAATTGTTCCCACTTTCCAATGTAGAAATAAAACAGATAGGTTTTATGAGGGAGGATTACCTCATGTTACATGAACTACAAAATATTTGTAGATATTTTGTTCTCATGATTGCTTCTGAAGTCTTTGTATGATCAGTTATAACAGAAAACGTACTGCTTTAATCTCTTCTCACACAGAGCTTGAGCTGCGCTCTGACAGAGTTCTCTATAATGTAAAGCTCGGGTTTGGAAAACGTCTGGAGCACAGCAGTTGTAGAGGTACACCCACCAGTTTGATTAGTTCTTTAAATATTTTTAGGTGATTTAAATATTTTACTTTCTTTTTCAGATCTACCTGCCTCTTCACCTTTTTGAAAAAGATGGCAATAAGATGCTGAAATAATCTTTTTAATATTAATGTGCTTTTAAACATTCCCCTGCTGTTCCCCAGGCAGATACACTCTTGTACTGTGCTTCTGGAAAGTATTTAAAAAGCAAAACCCAAAATAGATGAGCAGCCTGTTTGAGGTGGTGTAAAACGTACGATTTCCCCAAGCTGGCACCACAGACAGTAAATCCCATGTGAGACTCTAAGCAGGGGGGGAGGGATGGTAAGATGGGAAAAAGAGAAAGTCTTTTTTCAGCATGAGAAACCTGGTTTCTAAAGTCAGTATTGACAGGAGGATCTATGCTCTTTTTTTCTGATTAAAAAAATATCCAAGGTTAGCTATGGCCTGAATAAACAGCGTTTGCCTTTCTGGAGGAATACATGTTGCAGTGGTGATGTGTAATTGACCAAAGCAGCACCGTGTTCTAGCAGTTGCTCACTACAGCTCTGAAAGGAGAGTCTCAGAGGTACAACCTTCTCAGCAGAGATCAACAGAAAATCTGTTGCAGTGATCCGCTGATCACATGGAATGTGGAATGAGGGGTCTCCCCAGCGCACCTTCATGTGCTCTGACAAGAAGGGAGTGATGAAATACTGAAATATCACCATGCTGCTTCCAGGAGGCACCAGCCAGGCATGGTGCTACCCACAGCAGCAATGGGAGGCAGAAGAATGTTGTTCTTGGGAACAGGCCTTGTGCCTCAGGTTCTTGGTGCGCATTCTCTGAGTGAGACCTGCGCAGAATCTTAACAAGGGCAAGCCAAATGTCTGGAGCATCCATCCAACCAGGTACTCCACTGACTCGTGTTTTCAAACCTGAAAGCCCTTTTGATGCTGAAGGAATTAGAAATGCATTTTATCTAATGTCTGTCTTCCAGTCCTTCACATCACATCTCGTGAATAGTGAGCTAACGTATCCAGGCTCTGATCAGCCACAGGTGAAGGCCTGCAGGAACGCCGGGTCGTTGCTCTCCAGGAAGCTCCCACCTCAGAGGCAGCCAGCTGCAGCCTGACTGCACACCTTTCTTTTAGCAGAAGCTGCAGAATACACACCATCGCTGAGCTGCAGAAATATGTTAAAGCGATTTTCTGTCACCTTAAGATCTTACTCTCCTAAGAAAATGGGCAGCTGGGGACCACAGCTGCCTTATCTCCTCCTGTTTTCTAATCTTACAAATTTATACCATTGTGTCTTCTCAGTACAAACTGGCAAACCCATCTTTCGGGGGAAAAAAAACACAAAAAAACATTCACTTGAATGAATCCAGGCTGCTGTTTGAGCAGTAGAGGATAGCTGCAGCATGAATGCAGTTTCAACACAGATGAAGGTTGCAGCAGTGTCCTGAGCCCTCATCTGAAGCAGCAGGCTGCTCTCCGCACCACGGGCAATGAGTTTATAAGCTCACTTGCAGGCAGGAGACAGCAAACATTTAGTTCCGATCATTTTCTACTGCTTTCATCCCTTCTGCTATCTGAATCCTAGGATGTTTTCCTAGTGTCAGATCTCTGGGTGCATAAAAATTCATGGCATTCCTGATTTTCGGACTGCTTGGCAGACTGTCTGTTGTGCAGACCTGACTTCCGTACAAGGTCAGTTATTCATCCTGTGAGCACGCAGACCAGCAGGCTGCCTTGGAGCAGGTCTGATCATTTGTCCTGCCTTCCTGTCACAGCCTGGAAGACACCTGGCACTATTCCTGACATCTCCCCAATCTGCTTGCCACCTTGTTTGTTTTATTGCTCCTTAGTCCCCTGGCCATGACATTATACTAAGTCTGAGTTGAAAAAGCCACCACCAAAAGCTTTTATCCCTTGCTGTGGCCAGGCCAGTGCATATTTTCACAGAGACTAGGTTGCAAAAGGTAACCAATTAAAAATGCTGCTAGAGAGGCACTGAGGTGTGCAAATGGGAATAGATGGGGATAAGACAGGAGGCTGCTCTATCTGTTCCCTGACTGACAGGCAGCGACTGCATTACTGCAGTGCAGCAGGCAAGGGCTGAGTAGAGAAGGAGCACGGAGATAAACAAGAGACTTGGGGTATAAAAAGAGAATTTGCTACCAGGTTGCTTTGAAAGCCTGTATCTCTATGGCTTTTGTCTGTTCTAGCCAGTCTTGTGACAAGTTCTAATATTTTATGTCCTAGTTTCCAGTATGGTTTCTGTAAAGCATTACAATCTGCTTGCGAGTGATCTATATCTCAGTGCCACAATCAGGGAAAAGAAGAGATTATGAGTACATAAACAATTCCCATTGCCTTTCTTTGCTCTTTAACCCTGCAGTCTAAGGCCTGGATGCAGGAAAATTTCTCTGTCAAATCTAAAAGGAAGGCTCTGGATTGTAGACTCTCCCCAGGGAGCAGAGTTTGTCAGTGTCAAGTTCTTTGAACAGGGACTTTGCTTTCAGGCTTCTACTGTATGTCACATGTTGGAAATGTACTGTAAAAGTCAGGAGCATATTGAGAAGCCCATATTATCTAAGGGAAAATGATTGTGGCCAGAGAACAGAAGATACGCTGCAAACTTGTCAGTAAGAAAGCATCCATCAGTAGAAGCTGAAGAGCAGGGGGGATCTTCCAGGTGGTGGTCCCACACCTGGCTTTTCTTTCTACTAGTGAAGATGACATGCTTTCAGCAGTACCATGAACTTTTCAGGTATTGCTCTACCATTGTCACAGCTGTAAAAGATTTCAGCTTTTCTTTG